TTAACCTGAGAAAACCTGGAAGTCTGTCAACTGTAGCACAGGAAGTGGGGTGACATTATACACTCTCAAAGCCCAACTCCAATGATGCACTTCCTCCAGGAAGGTTACATCTCCTAAAGGCTCTATATTCTCCACAGACAGTGCCAGCTGCTAGAGAGTCAAGAGCTCAAACACATGAGCCTCTGAGGACAGTTTTCTCTCAAACTACTACAGCCTTCTCACACGGAAAATCCTACAGAATTTAGAAATCCTGGAATGAAAAATAGTAATTGAATAGAATGCCTCTATAAAAGCTAAAATAGTCTAGTGGGTTTATTGAATAATACACATACTTTGGCTTGGAATAATCTTATGGACTTTCCTCACAATATTCCCCATCAAAAATACCTTAGTTTTCTTGTTTCCATTATTATCTTTAGTTTTGCTTATCATATGCTAATTAGAATTTTCATTCTTAGCAACTTTAATTTCTTGTGAAAAAAATCTAAATAGTAAGCTTTTTGAAGTGCTCTCTATCAGCAGTTTTGAGGTGATTTTTAGAAGTATGCTTCTACATGAAGCAATTTTTGTTTTTATTATTTTCATTTGAGAATTTCATACATAAATACAATACATTTTGATCATATCCTCCCCTCATTTCTCCTACCCCCCAACTCCTTTCAGCTCTCCCCAATACCCCCTTCTCAAATTTACATCTTCTTCTGCTGCTTTTTTCCATGAGTCCAATTAGTCTTGCCCATGTGCACATGAGTGTAGGGCTGACCACCAGAGAGCATGAGCCACCCAACCAACAATGGCCATGTCGCTGAAGAAAACTGACCCTCCCGCCTGCAGCTAGCAATTGCCTGTGGCTCCTCAAACAGGACTAGGTTCTTGGGAGCCCTTCCCCACATCCTGGCTGGAATGTTGGATCTTGTACAAGTCTTGTACAGGCAGCCCCAGCCTTCGAGAGTCCTGGGCACAGCATCCCTGTCACACCCAGAAGACACTGTTTGCAGCAGTGCCTTCCTGGGCCCTCTTGCAGTCTTTCTGCCCCTTCCTCCACAATGTTCCTGGGCTTGAGGTAGGGGTGAGTCACAGATGTCCCATTGGAAGATGGGCACTTCACAATCATTACTCTATGCATTTTGACCTACTTTAATTAACAACCCAAAATATATTTAGGTACTATATTCAACCATAGAATAGCAAAATGCCAAAATATGTAAACTTTAAACTTATATTTAATAAGTATCATCTTAATAGTTTAACTCGTTGAGAAATGACCCAGACACCCAAAGGGTATCTATTACTTCACATCATGTCAAGGCCTCAAATTACCAGAAAGATTTCTGAAATATGAAGTGTTCATTTATAAATGTTCATGTCATTTGTATTTACCCAATTTACTAATTTTTGATGGCTAAATTTGAATTGCTTGTGGGTAATAATGCTTATCTCATTTGTTAAAATGTCGTCTTATTTTTTTTTATTTTAAAAGAGCAAAATCAAGCCGGGGGTGGTGGTGCATGCCTTTAATCCCAGCACTCGGGAGGCAGAGGCAGGCGGATCGCTGTGAGTTCGAGGCCAGCCTGGGCTACCAAGTGAGCTCCAGGAAAGGCGCAAAACTACACAGAGAAACCCTGTCTTGAAAAACCAAAAAAAAAAAAAAAAGAGCAAAATCAAGCTAAAACTATCAACCAGCCTTATTCTAGGCTCTTGAGAAGACAGACACAGATGCCTAGTAAGTAGTCCACACTCCCCAGTTGTCCTGTGTCTTGGACCCTCATATAGTATCTAAGATGGATAAAAATGAAAGGGCATGGCTAGATCTTTAACTCACACACCAAGTGATAAACCCAGGACCAGGGACAAGGAGCTATGGTAATGATGCCTAAAGTATCCAACCCAACAGTTTCCAGCATGGGCAGGAAGGAGGCAATTCTATGCAGAAAAAATGGAGGAGGCCATAACAGGCAGGCCTGGTTTACCTGGTAGCTGGCAACCCAGGTATTACCAAAACACCCATGTCCAAAAACCACCATTCCATATCCCAGAGGCTCCCAACCAAATGTACGTAATTCAAGGACCAAGGAAGCGCTGCAGCTGGTCCCAAAGTCTCAGCTCACTGGCAAACCAAACAAATATCAAAAACATCATAAATGGAGCCAGGCATGTTTATGTATGCCTGTAATCCCTGGATTTGGGATGTGGACACAGGAGGATCAGAAGTTCAAAGCTAGCATTATTATATAGAAAGTTCCAAGCCAGCCCGGACTACAGGAGATCCCATCTAACAATGATCAAATTCAAACATCACAGAGGTAAAGAGACTCAAATCCAATAGTCAGACACAAATCCCTTTCCTCTCATTTTATTCCCAGGGATGATATAGATGAAGGAATTTGTTCTTATACATTTTTCTCCTTGGCTAAACCCTTATCTTTGTGACCTAATCTATCAAGGGTATAGGAAAGCTTGTTTAACTAGTAAGTCTAACGTAAAATTCTATAATTAACAACTAGATTCAAACACTTTTTTCCCTTTTAAGTCAGATAAACAGAGCTCTGTGGTGGTTTGAATGAGACATATCGTGCATGGGCTCAGGTACTTGAACATAGTCACTAGTTGGTGGCACTGTTTGGCAAGTGGTACAGCATGTGCTGGAGGAAGTATGTCACGGGGGGGGGGGCTTCGAGAGTTCATAACCTCACCCTGCTTGCAGTTCACTCTCTTTGCTTTGTGTCTGTTGATCAAGATAGGAACCCTCAGCCTCCTGCTCCTGCAGCCAGGCTTCCTCATCATGATGGACTCGGCCCTCCGGAACCACCAGCCGAAATAAACTCTTCCTTATATAAGTTGCTTTGGTCATTGTATTTTATCACAGCAACAGAAAAGTGACTAATAGAAGCTCCTTCGTGTATTTTGGTAGACTCACACATACACACCCCATGCACACAGATGCAGATCTGATGGCCTCATTCACATTCTTGGTTTGCCAGCTTTTCAAGGTTGTCGTAATTCCTTCGTGTTCAGGAGAAACGGAGGCTAGAATATGAAGTCGCTGCAGAGTCTGGAAGGCCAAGGTTTGCATTTCCCTCAGTAAGTGCACTTACTGCCAGATTCTGTCTCATCCAGTCAGTCATCAGAGGCCTGCAATTGGATCCAATCCAATTACTTATGGAACTCAATGCATCTTGGAACTACTCCAGTTTCTGCAAGGGCTTCCAATGGTCAGCAATCGCTTCACAGTGCAAATGAGCACTGGACTCAAAAGTCAAAAGACAGAAGCCAAAAAGATTTGGTGCTCAGTGCAAACAGAGAGCACCAATGCCAAGATGGAACCAACTCTGTAAGACAGAGGGACCCCGGAAGGGGTCAACAGAGCCTCTCCCGCATCCCTCAAGGACTCTTGGGAGTTATCAGCACTTTCTTTGTGGCGCCTCATCTGCTCTAATAGCTCTGAAATCATTAGAAAATGACAATAAACATGATTTTGTAGCTCTTTGTTTGACTTGCAATACTAGAATTGGATAGCAGTCAGGATAGAAAACCGTGCAGATCTGTGCCCAACCACTTCACCGCACGTTACATTTGTAGCCAAAGAAAGCTATGTGCAGAAAATAAAAGAGAGGTATAGACAGAGCCCACACCTGTCTTATCTGGCCACTTACGGACTGGCGGAGATGCAGCAAAACATTCTAAGGGCGGGTTATGAGCAGATTACGGTTTTAGGTTCATCATGAGTGGAGAAACCCTTAGGCACATGTTTAAATGTTATGAAGGCTGCTTTAGCCAAACCCAACAAGTCTTTGCTTGGCAGCCACCGCTTTGAAGGTGATGTGATGGATCTCAGCAAAGGGCCAGCAGATCAGAGAAGAGTACATCCGATGTCACTGTGCCCCCACACCAGGTGTCCACAGCCCAACCTCAGTTCACAGAAGTCAGCACATCCAGAGCAGCTCAGACTCACCCACTCACGGTGTTTGAGCTTCTCTGGCCACACAAAGCTTCAGAACCCACTTGCTCTTGAACTCAGCACAGGTTAACTTCTCCAAAGCACTCAGTCACTCCTGCCTCACAGACCCTTGATGCTACAACACACGGCCTGCTAACACAGCTCTCGGGCTTATTATCTGCCTGCCCTGTCTCCTGCATCCCAAGTAAACTGTCTTCATACTAGTCTGTCTCAGGCTCTGCCTTCTGGAAAACCCAGTTAATACAAGAATATTATATATGATACAAACACCCAGAGAGATATAAAAGAAATATGGGGCCTCCAAATATTAACTCTTCACTATTCCAAACACCAACAGATTTCCTTGTCTTCGACAGTTCTTAAAGTACATAGGCATGTTAGCGAACATTATGAAGCAAGAATAAGCAGACACCAGCCCTGCAATTTAGTTCAACTGTATGCAAATGTATGCAAATACAGCATTTCATTGTGGGCCTTGGCTGTGGGGCAAATATGCCTTCCCTCAGAAGACAGCTGTTATTGTAGCAGAACCCACCTACTGTGGTTGCCACACTCTGAGCTGCTGTGGACTTCTGCACTGCCTTCTCCAGACCACCAAGCCTGCAAAGAGAAGGCCTGAGCAGCCAGCTAACCTTCAAAATCAATTCACTCACTGGAAAGAGTGAATATTCTTGAAAGCACTCCTTGTCTTCTAGAGATGCACGTCCTTGTTGGTAAGGAAAAGATGACTATCCACACCCAACGTCAGGAGCTGGAGCCAGGTAGGGAAGGGAAGAGACCAGGAGAACAGCATGTACTACAAAGCCACAGTGAAACAGAGGAGATGAAGAGAACTTGTATTGGAATCTGGAGGATAAATGATGACACCATTGTTTGTTGTTATGAGAACTGTATATTCCCATGGACATACTGGGTTTTCTCTCCAGAACTTCATGGCAAATATTCCACTGTCCTGAGATGTGAGTAACAGACTCAATTGCAGTTACTTAAAGGACACAATATCAGAGGTGCATTTCTATTTTTTCTTTTTATTTATTCATCTCTCATACAATACATCTAGACTGAAGTTTTCCCTCCCAATAACACCCTGCCCCAGATCCACTGTTCCTCCATTTCCCTTCAGAAAAGAGCAGACCTCCCAGGAATATCAACCAAACATGGCCTAACAAGATGCAGTAAGACCATGCATTCTCTCTGTTGAACTATCATCGAAGACACTTTGAGTCAAAAGAGTGCTTCTCCCTTAATTAAAGTACAAATCAATCCCTCAATCGATGTGTAGTGATTACCCCTCCAGAGAAGATGATGCCCGTGCAGGAATGAGTGCAGCATAGGAACCGGTCCCTACAAGTGCCACAAATCTGCCGTTTTCTCCATACTTCTCAGCACTGGGCATGTCTGCAGTGATTGGCATTAATAAGCCTAAGATTTCCAACCTCTAGTTAAGAATCACATTTTAAAAATAGAAAATGTCTAGAAATCATTAATTTTTTCAGTGTCCAAAACTTTAGAGTTTTCTTTTTCTTCTTCTTCTTCTTCTTCTTCTTCTTCTTCTTCTTCTTCTTCTTCTTCTTCTTCTTCTTCTTCTTCTTTTTTACAAAATAGAATTTTAAGAATGTTGCCTTCACAATGAATTTAATGTACCAATATTTCCATTCAAATGACATTTCTACTTGAAGCTTTGATATGGTCATATATGAAGCCAAATTCCAACTTTTTAAAAAGAATTAGCTTTTAAACAATCATTTGAACCCATTCTCTAAACCATGAATTGGGGTTTCTATGTTCCTGACAGTGGGATCGGATGCATGGTCTTCAGATAAGAAACACGTGTGCCACTAGGATGTCTTCAGGTCAAGATGCTCGGAGGGCAGGAGCCGGGTTACTTCATTCTTCTCGAAGGTTCTGACCCTCTTGAGCCCCAATGGACATCATGTTCTTTGTTTATATTCAATTCGGCATTTCCCTTCTGGCTGGGGGACACCCACCAAATGGAGACAACTCTAGAAGCAGAAATGTAGAAGAGACACAGAAGCTAAGAGACGGAGGCCAACAGCTTTAGTCCTAAGTCTTCCTGGTTGTGATCTCTAAAGGTACAGAGTGGAGGCTGGAAGGGTGGGAAATGTCCGCATTGCTGAGTTTCGAAACCTTGAGCATCAACTTTACCGTTGGAGGAGCAGAGAAGAGAAAGCTAGCTTATTTTAATAATCTCTCAGCTTCACGTTGCTCACCTGGGCCCACAGGCCTGTGTTCTGCCCACCCTTCTATCAGGCTGAAGGGCATGCTCAAAATAAACAAGGCTCTTTCTACATCCCTGACTCAAAAGCTATGACACCTCACGTAGGAAACAGAAGGCCGAATGTGCCACTTTGTGTTCAGACAACGTGGCAGTGATATGGCATGAGTCAGCTAAAGCATGGCTAACACCAGATACCGAGGGGATTGAGTCGGCTAACGATGGCTGACAGCAGATGCCTGGGGAACCCAAAGGGAAAACAGGGATGTGATGATCTGTGACTGTTGCTGATGGAATGCCACTTTCCTGTGATTCTACAGAAAACGACCTTGAGGCTGGAGATGAGTGCCTTTGCGTTCCTCTCCTGTGGTGGTTTCAATGAGAAAAGTCCTCCACAGTCTCGGTATTGGAACACTTGACACCCCCTCCCCCACCCCCCGTTAGTAGTTGCTTCTGACACACAGGAAGTATGTCACTGGGGGTGGACTCTGAGATCGCAAAGCCTGGCCTACCTCCAGCTTGCTCCTTCTGCGTCATGCTGGTGGCTTA